GACAGCATCGACACCTGTATATCTATGAGGGCACCGACGCGTGATCAGACCTCGATGACAGCATCGACACCTGTATATCTATGAGGGCACCGACGCGTGATCAGACCTCAGTGAGGGAAATGATATGTGATCTGACCTCTGTGGGAGCACAAATAAGTGGTCATACCTCAATAAGGACATCAACAAGTGATCAGACCTGAGCCAGTACAAGAGGTGCTTCTCACAGACACATCTCTCTTTCCAAGACTGGAAGTGGTGACCTCTTAGTTATAGCTGCAGGCCCAAAGCTGTGTTCCACAGTCTACCGTCCAACTGTCCCAAATGCACAATCAGAGCGAAATGCATAAGAAAAGCATCTGAATGGGTTCTAGGTTTCTGATGGATGTTACCCATTCATGCTCTTGCACATTTTCCTGTTAGTGTTTCTGTCCTCCACTGGCTAAATGAAATGTCTGGTGGCTTAATAGTGTCCCAGGGGATGTGAGGATGTAACAGCCAATGAGGTGGCCCATTTAAATCACAGCTCGTAGGTAAAGAGTCAGGCTGTCAAAAGAATGGCAATGTGACTGGAAGAGATGCTTCTCCTGGTTCCAAGAGATCCATCACAGCGGGGAGGGGGAGGTAGTGTGACACACATACACTGAATTCCATCAGTGAGTCTGTGTGCTGTTACCTCCATTAATCAAACATCAAATGCTGGAGCATAAGAAGACGTGCTATTAAAGCAATGTGACATTATTTTCTATGCTAAGCATAGGCCTCAAGGCATTCTCAGACAAGGAAGATGGATTCACAGTCATCCATTTACTGGCTGGTTCTTCCCTGTTTGCTCAAATAGTTGGTTTCTCTTTATTAGCTGTTGATTGATCCATAGGTCAGCTGACTACCTCTTTTCAATTCAATTATATGATCTTGTACTCGCCATTCGCACCAGTACAGGTACGTGGGAATCCTTCTTTCATATTCCATCTTGCTCTCCTTTGAGACACACACACAAATCGATTGCTAGATAACCATAACCCATAAGCCTTTTAATGCCATTGGTCTTAAACTAAAGAGGAATTTGGATAAATGTCCTTTACCGCTATCCAGTCCCCATCTGGGGCTGTAGGTGAAGAAAAGTAGTAGCATTATCAGGGCTAACAGTACTTAGCATCATCAGGGCTAACAGTACTTAGCATCATCAGGGCTAACAATACTTGCTCTGTTACTGTAAGCTTGTACCTGGAATGTAATAATACATCTGCATGGGTTGAATTGGGTTTTCTTCATTTATTCCTCTCGGTAAACACTTTCTATGAGATAAGCCTCTATCTAATGGTAGGACATGGAGTCTGCTATTAGAAAGAAACTATGTAAAACCATGATTAATCACACTCGTATGAGCATGAACTGGCCTACCGGTGAAACAGGATTTGTAGAAAGTCCTGGTTGAAGGATGCTTTGGAGTTGTAGAGACTTTTCTGTCAATACAAGGCTCACAGTCAGTTCAATCAGTATAGAATTATGTCTGAAGTTATTGTTACCACAACAGTGCAGGTGTAGAATGTTTGTAATCTTGCTGCCTTCCCAAGGGCGTCGCAGACTCTCCAGAGGAGCATTATGGGAATGCAAACAGGAGTTGTTGCCCCCTGCTGTGATCAGGACCATTGACCTGAAGGCTGTCATGCTGATCTAGGTGAGCTAATCGGGAATCGTGTAATTTACCCCCTGGCCAACCTCTGCCCCATCGGCCGGCTCCTTAAGCGCTCAGAAATAACAGTCTTCCTACTCTCATCACGACCCTTCCTGATACAGCAGACACCTCCTCCCTTGACGGACAGGGCAGGGCATTAGTGCCACAGGTCATTGCATCACTCCTTTAGACTCCTTCAAAGCTGGTGAACGGTCATCGCTCTTACCAGTGAAGAGGGTTGAGTGACAGACACCTATGTGTGCAAGATACCAGGTTAAGACCCTGTACTCAAATGTGTGACTTGTAACAATAGAAGAACTTTCCAGAATATTCCAGCTCAAACAAAGACAAAAACCTGCCACCTGCACCCACAACACCTAACTGGGTCATGTCTCAGATGGCTTTTACTTCTACTCTTCCATCAGTTCAGGTCATCATCTCAAAACATCTCACTCAAACACTCTGGCCCAGGATTGATCTTTTCATCAAGGATTCTGTTGGGATTGTCAAACTCGGTCTGTATGTTGATGGCCCAGTAACAGAGCACTTCCTCCACCATGATGATACCGCTGCCTTCGGCTCAGTTGTGGCTGACAACGGCAGACCCAGATCAATGCAGCAGGGTGGCAAGCTGATCTTCCCGTAGGGAGTTGACTATGTATCTCAAAGTGCAGTGCCAGAAGTGATGTTTTTATGATTCACTATGAAGAGATGACAGGAGTGGCAGCATAGCACTAGTCTTGCAATGGGGGCTGACCACAAGCTGAACAGGAGTGACTGACAGGGAGCATTCGCTTCTGATGTGTGCTGAGCCATAACTCTCAGTGAGGGTAGAGTCAAAGCAGCCATAATGATAAATATCCATACTGACTAGGCAGGGTAGTGTCTTAAAGGGGCTGGGCTGTGCCAATCAGCTATCAGCTTCCAACATCCCTGTAAATGTATTCATAGAACAGCAGGCCAATGTCTTAAAGGCGCTCAGCTGTGTTAATCAGTTTTCAGTTGCTCATTTCCCTTGGAAATGTATGCACATGATAGTAGGCCAATGTCTTAAAGGGATGGTGCTGAGCCAATCGACTTTCAGTTTCCCATTTTCCTTGTAAATGCATGCACACTACAGCAGAGTGTATCAATTAGGACACAAGGCAGACAGGACACAGAACTTCCATTTTGCACAGATTTTCGGTAGCTGAAACTCAGGAACTGCAAATATTTTTTTTCCAAGATTTTAGGAAGAATTACAAGATTAGAAAATATTTTTTTCAGCCAAATTTCTGTACTCTATTAATTTGAACAGTTATAGTCAAATGGTCATTGAGATCTAGAGTTTCACATTTTTGCAAAAATTGTAGCAAATTGCAGTTTGAGTTCAAGTCAACATGCCGGCATCCTACTCACTCCCTGATGCGCTGCACCCGTGTCTCTGCCATGGTACAGTCCAGCGTGGTTGCTGTACGGGGACTCGGGCACCCTCTGTCTGGAACCTCTGCACACAACAAATTACAATAACTTTACATTCGCCACCAAGACGTGGAATGGTTACAGTGTCAGACTAAACTGTGGTGGCTTTATGAGCCAGTAAGATCCTCACTGATGAGAGGCTGTAATATGGGGGGTGCAGCATGCCTATGGCAGTGCACTGGGGGGAGGGGCATGTAGAATGCCTACGGCAGTGTGCACTGGGGGGGGGGGGGGGGGGGCAGCCAGACTACTCA